CAAGATATAAGCAATTATTAATCTGAATTTAAAACTAATAAACCTGGAAAGAAAAAATAATTAAATTACATGCGAAAAATAAAATATAAAGTGTTTTTCAACAGGTTAAATAGAATAATAGTTTTAAAAATGAAATTCGATTGATGGAAATGTAGAATATCACCGACAGAACATGTACTCACAAGAAACAAGGAAATTTTAAAGAAAAAACTATAAAAAGTGATTGGTAACAATCACAAAGAAACAAGTGGAATTTTGGGGACACATAAAAATGAAAAGAAGGCTTGAAGAATTAAAAACACATAGGTCACATAAAAGACATGTGACCTTAAAGATAGAAATATTAGTTAAGCAGATCTAGTTACTTGACAATTGTGCCTTTGATTGAGCTGGTGCATAAATGTAATATATACTCAGCCACCTCAATAGAAAAGACAAGTGAGATCACAAAGATGAATTAACTGATAAGAGATATTCCTGAAACATGAATAATGGAATGAGAACAATATACCCCATGAATTGAATATAGTGTTTGGTACATAATTCTCAGAAGATTACCTAGTACAACAGACACCTGATGAAAGTTCAAAGGTATAACAGCCAAAATATTATATAACTATAACAACTAAGGTATGAACACTGATCCAAGTAAATTAGTTCATAACAATGTACTTATATATTTGCTTATAACTTTAAGAAAAGTTATTAATATTAACAGCCACTATACAAGGAAAAGATTAGTGTCTGAACCATATTGGATATGTGCTAACTCTACAATGAAATTTACCTACCTACTTCATGCTCCAAAAAGAAAAATTAAATAAAACTTGGCCCACTTTAAAAAAAAAAAAAAAAAAGGCAAAAGAGTAGACAACAATGACAACAATCTTGCTTGTTTATATCTTTCATTTCCTTCTCTTGATTTTTTGGGGGGTTTTTTTTCCATTTTTCTCCACCTTTCTTACTTGACATTTTACTTTTTCTTTTCCCCTACTCTCCTTTGCTTTTCCCAATTCTGTGGACATGTGCAACAGAAAATTGATGGATATGTGTGTGCCCTCAAGGACACATGGCACAGTGGATAAAGGCATTAGTTAGATCCAGTGGCAGGACCCAAGAGTGTGAGTTCAATACCCGGTTAAGGCAGTGGAGAACTTAGAGAGGAGAATTAACAGGAGATAACTGACAACTGACATCCATTAAACATGGCACATGAAACTAGAACAGTCTACCCCAGTCAGCGAAATAAAGGGTTCAGTTTGATATTCCAACCACCTGAAGAAGGCCAGAGTGTACAACGGCCAAAATGTCATAATAAATATGGCAACAAAGATGAGGACAATAGTCCAAATAATGTAAATTCGGTAGATAATACCTCCTCTCAGAAATAGAGACATATACTGTGTGTGTAACACTTTTTTTTTTTTTTTTTACTGGTTTTTGGCAGAAATACTAATTCATACATCTGGCACTAAGGCTACTGATCAGGAGATTGGAGGTTTTGAGGAGCATGGAACCATCTCTTACTTGCTGTTGCTCTTAAGTCCACTCTGTTAGGGTCTCAGCTATAGGCAAATAGTGAACTCCCAAACAAAAACAAAACAATATTAAAGTAAAAAATATATATTTTTATAGTAAAAATACCAGCAGCACATTTTTATATAAAAAAATTACCAACAATACCAATTTTATAGCAAAATGACCCACAGTACATTTTTTTTTTTTTATCTGTACCTGAAAGCATATAATTTTGTTCAAAATGTATAGTTTAAGCCACATTGTGTTAAAGTTCAAAATATTTAGATCTTGGCATTAAATAACACAGAGGTATTGATATGCTGCTAAATAAAATCAACCAGACAGTAAAACTTGTTTTGTTTTTTGTTTTTTAAATACAGATTACAAAACATTTTTCAAAGTAAATTTTCTGATTTTTTTTTCAGGTTTTGATAACATCAACTTACAAGGTCACTATTGTTCATTTCTAACTAATCATTATTATAAATTTGCAAGAATCAGAATTTTGGAATTTTAATACAGTGTAACCCGGATATAAGAGAGATTTTCTCTGGTTCCAAATTAGAGCCTGTGTTAAATGTAGACCAAACCCAGATATAAGAGACTTTTTCTCCGGTCCCGACAACTCTCTTATATCCTGGTTACACTGTATTTTTTTTTCAAAAATTTAACATGAAGCCTTATTATTAAGTAGAGAAGATATATTCAAGTTGAAAATTATCAGTATTTGTTTTAAAATTGTGATGTAAATTAAAGGATTCGTTTAATTCAAAAATCATAGTTTAAGGTAAAAAAAAAAAAAAAAAATTATTTTGTTTAATACCCAAAAGTTTTAAAAAGAAAAGTACTCATGTCGATTCATAGCATTTAATAACCAATGTATTTCTATTGCCTTTTCTGTATGACCTTATGGAACTTTTCAAGATAAATTAAAAAAGCAAAATTCTTTAAGGAAATTTTTAAAAAATATTTTTTTCAACCTTTTCGAATAAAACTAGTAAAAAAAAAAAAAAGAAAAAAAAAGCGATAAGCCAATAAAAAAAAATATGTAAATCAATTATAAATTAAAAAGATAGATGTTTTTAAGTAAAATCGGCTGAAAATCTGGACGTCTTTGACACACTCGTACACACACACACAAATTAAAAACGGTGTAGGTACCCCCAAAAATTTTCTAAAAAATGCTCCAAACTTGATAAAAACAAAGTTTTGTCGTCAAAATGTTTGTTATTATTAAAGAGAAAACTGCAAAGCGATTTTCTAATTATTTTATGAATTTTTTTTTAATCGGTTTTTATCACGGTCTAAAAATTTTGGTTAAAAAAAAAAAAAAAATCTTGTTTTTCTTGAGTCAGCGGTTGGGCAAAGATTGGTATTATTAGGAAATTTATAACATTGAAAAGAAGAAAAAAAATAAAAGGATTCTATTCTGATTAAAAACAATATTTTTTTTTTAACCTTTTCATATTTACAGAGTTTTTACTTTTATGTAATTGTAATGTTTACATTTTAAATGTCTTTGCCCTTTCAAAACTAGAAAATAGATTTTTTTTAGCGATCTGCGCTCATAGATTAACTTTAAAAATCTAATTCAACTAATAAACTAATTAAAATAAATTAAGGCTTCGGTGTTTCTTTTTATTTTATCTTACCTTAAAAAAAGGTTAGTCTGGAAAAAAATTATATACGTTTTACTTTTAACTTTTTTTTACTCTTCATTTGATTTCTTAGTTCACGTACCATATCTCTCGTCATTATCAAGGACTTCGTAGTGCTTCTATTTTTTTTTTCTTAACGCAATTTACAATTTTTTTTTTTTACTGATACTAGATTTAAAAATTTAAAAAAAAAAAAAAAAAGCTTCTTTTTCTTAGTTTTTTTTTTTGTTACAAAGGCAACAGTTCAACAAATGTTTCAATTGACTTGTAGTAAAAATATTTTTTTTTTAATTTTTCAGAGATATTTCACATTTTCACCCCCACAATAATAATTAATAGAAACTTCTTAATTTATAAAAATAGGTTTTACTAAGAAATTTATAAAATTTTCCCACGAATTGGAAAAATGACCCAAACAGACCAAAAAAAAAAAAAAAAAAAAAAAAAAAAAAAAAAAAAACACGGAAATTATTTTCATCTCTGAATTTTAGTTAGACTGATTTACTTTCTTTACTTTTTGTGCAAAGCAATTTACCAATTTTTGAAATGGACACCTGGCTAATGAGTTACAAGAAGTAGTCATTCCAAAAATTTACTCATAGGTAAGAAACCACTAGTACTACTTACTACTACTACTAAATAATAATTAGTAATACACTAAATAAATACTGATGATGATGATGATGATGATATCTCGAGTTTGATGTTTTACTCCCCAGGAAGTAATATTTGATGTGAAATTCACTGTAAAAACAACCTTAAAATATTTAGAAAGTAAAAAATGCATAATTTAAAAAAAAAAAAAAAAAAAAAATTAAAATTTAAAAGTGACAAAAAGTAAAAGTAACAAGAAGATTAATCACATTTTTTGGTTATTCAGGTATTTCCCCCCGCAATCATTTTGGGGCAAACAAACTACTAAAAACATATGTTTTATGGAAATCTTTATTACATAATTTCTGAAATGGTCGTAGATTTAAAAATAAATAAAAGCTGTGTGAAGAAGAGAGAAACTGGCAAATGTTTTTTTATGAAAAATGTACTTTTTACCGGAACTTTGACACCCATATTTACAATCAGCAAACCAAGATTGTTTTTCTTTTTCTTTTTTGTAATTGTACCTTCAGATATCAGTTTGTAATTGTAGTAAAATAAATAAAAAAATATTAAAGTAGAACTCGAAAAAGACTTGGTAAAAATGTACGTTTTTGGCATTTAAAAAAATATAATTTGATGTTGTTTATAAATGTTAGATTTTGTGATTTCCAGGATAATTTGGAAGTTTTGAACCGTAAAAAACTGACAAAGAAAAATTTAAAATAAACAAAATGCGTTTGTGTAAAAACTGTAAATATTTATCAGAAACTGTAGTAGTCATAAGTAAATTAAATAATTGTTTTTCTTAACATAATTCGGATTAAAAATACATTTATTTATCTGAGAAGGAAAAGTAAAACAAACAAAAATGGTAAGATTCCACAAGAGTCGGTAGATTTGAGATAAATAAAATCACATTTTTAACTGGGATTATTTAAATTCTTTAACAGATTGATTTAAATACTGTTTAATGTTAGACGGAATTTTGTTTTTCGTTTTATAAGCGATGCAAGAATTAAAACAACAAAATGTTTTAATTCTTGCATCAGTCTTCTTTACAACTTATTTTTGTTTGTTTTTTTCAGTTCCAGCGAAATGTCAAAAAATAAAACGAACACCAGAATTATCCGAATATTAACAAAATTAAACACAAATAAATAAAACATTTTTTCAACATGAAACCAAAGTATTTACATAACAGATTTAGATGTATTTTTTAATTCTTACCTTTAACGTGTGGTTATGACTAAATTTTCAACCCTTAAACATCTGATTTTCTACAAAACACACTCAGAAAACTTAAAGCCACGACAGGTTTCCTCATTGGTCAATATTAAAACGAAGGCAGAGTGGCAATACACACTGGCTGTCAGCCTGTTTGCGTTGTCAAATGTTTGATGCGCATATATGTATATATGTATGTATGTATATATATATATATATATATATATATATGTATGTATGTATGTATGTATATATATATATATATATATATATATATATATATATATATATATATATATATATATATATATATATATATATATATATATATATATATATATATATATATATATTTTTTTATTTAGGCAGCAATACTTCTTTTATGCACATTTCATTGAATACGACAGACAAGGTGTTTGGATTTGGTTTTTTATACAATTCCACGTGTGATTTAATAATTTTTTCTCTTCAGATGATAATTGTATAAAAACTGTCCAAATGTCCTTTTTATCCGAGTTCTTTCGGTTTTAGCCATGTTCAAGGGTAAAATATATTAACTGTGAACAAGAAATAGTTTGTTGTATGTAGTTATATAATGTTTTTATATATATATATATATATAATATAATATGTATATATATAAATAATATATATATATATATGTATATTGATTATATATATATACACAGACACACACACACATATATATATATATATATATATATATATATAAAATATATTATGCATTATTTTAATATCTATACTCCATTGATGTAAAAAAAATGGATAGTACATTTTGCAAATAAAAATATATTAACCAAACTCTTATCCTGTTATCAGGGGAAAAAACATTCAATAAAAAAAAGAAAAGACTAAAAACATATGTGTAGGTTTAAAAAAATCACTCAACACCGCAACACCTAGCCACCCAAAAAAACAGCAATTGAGTAGATTAAGAAAACCAAAAAAGTGCTCAATACATTAAGTAGGGCAAAGTATAAAAAGCCTTACGAGCCAGAATCTACCAACCATATTGGGTATTAACTAATTAGCCAGTTAATACCCTGAAGATCCGTTAGATGAAACCTTGGTAGGTAGATTCTCCCTCATTAGGTTTTATATATATATATATTTATATATATATCTTATATATATATATATATATATATATATATATATATATATATATATATATATATTTATATACATATATTTTATATATATATATATATTTTATATATATATATATATATATATATATAAAAAAAAAGAAAGAACAGTAAGATATAAAATCCGTGTTCTTATAGATATTTTATTTTACAAAACTGTGTAGCGAAAAAAACATATTTTAAATCAATTAATTTATAATATTATATATATATATAATATTTTATATATATATAATATTTTATATATATATATATAAAAATAAAATAAAAAATAAATAAATTTCCATAGACACTTAACCAGACTAGACGATGTCATCTTCCGCTTTAAATTTAGACACCCCAACCATACCCTGACTTGACGTCTATGAATGTAACTGTGATATTGATACAAATTATTATGAATATGCTTATAAAACACGTAAATTTCAGGAATTAGTTATTCCAAAAAATTTTGCTTGAAGATGGAACAGAGCTTGGTACTTTAATTCAATTTAATTCAAATAATTATATTGAAGTTTTTGGCTCTTGTTTTGAAACATGAGAACTCTTATGTAGCATTGGAATCATATTTTTAAATAAATAATTATATTTATGCTCTACTTTTGTATCGAGCACTATTTTTTAAAAATAATAACTGAAATACTAAAGAACTTTGGATTATTTACCTAACGAGTTCTTTCCTATTTTCTATATATTTTTACACACACACACACACACACACACACACACAGACACACACACACACATATATAATATAATATAATATAATATAATATAATATAATTAAATTAAGAAAGAGACAACCTTAAGGTTCCATGACTATAATTTATTTCCCCCAAAAATATATTTTTCCTGGTTCATGTCACATCTCTAGTTACTATACGATTACCAAGCCCTACATACCCTTAATATATATATATATATATATATATATATTATGAAATGGCCTAAGTCCAACTGTTATTTTAACATATTTTCTGTTTATATGTTATTTTTATAGATACAAATATTTAAGTACATGCGCTGTTTATAATAAACATTATTAATAAAATTTACCAGCTTAAATGTATGATACAGGTTCAAATCCTGTTGGAGGACACATATTTTTTATGAGATTTCTCGGACATTCTGGCTGGTAAATGTTATTAATACTGTTTATTATAAGCAGAGCATTTACTTATTTGTATCTATAAAATTAATGTATAAACAGAAAATATATTAATATATATATATATAATATCAAACATATATATTCATATATCAAACATGTGTGTGTGATATCATTATTTAAATAGATAAAAACACCTGTTCATTTTTTTATTCAACAACTTAATTAATTACTAACAGAGCTATTTCTCTTCCATGTGTTTGTGTGAATGACAGATTACACCACATAGTCATAAAAACTTCAGGACTAGTATGAGAAGCAGTCAGAACTTAACCTATTTTCAAACAAAACAAAAAAAGAATTAGTGAATAAAGAGTAACGCCAAGGTTCAATTTTTAAACTAAAACAAAAAATAAATTCAATTATAAAATAAATAAAAAGAAAACATTTTGCACAAATTAAAGCATCTAAATCAATTTAAAAATATTATTCTCTGGGAGATTTTATGAAGAATAGAAACAATAAGAAAACAATCAAAAAGAGGTGTTCTGGGTAAGATGATAAACTAGATCCAGTTTCCTGGGTAAGATGATAAACTACATCCAGTTTCCTGGGTAAAATGATAAACTATGTCCAACAGCAAAACCTTTGATTGGGAGGTTTTGATGGATGTGGAACCACCTCTTAATTGCTGGTGTTCCCAGGTCCACTATGGCCTGGGGTGGTAGCACCTGTTAGGTCCCAGCTATGTGCAAATAGTTAACCCCCAAACACTATGAAAATGTAAAAATAGATTTTAATACTAGCAATAAATTTTTTGAAAGAAAAATTATTACCAGCAATATATTTTTGAAGAAAATAAATATTACTGGCAATACATTTTTGGAAAAATATTACCAGCAATAAAAATCTTGTTGGCATTGAATAACCCATTGAGGTTGATATGCCATAAAACAAAATAAATCAAACCAAATCAATCAAAAAGAGACAACTGAATTTTCTGGGACATTTAGCAAGAAAAGAGGGCTTGAAGAATTTAATACTCACAGGACATATTGATTGAAGGCAGGAGAAGCAGGTGAAATAGCAAGTAATCTATTTAATGAATTTTAGTGAATGGAAGGCAGGAATAGGACAGAGAAGGGGTATGATAAAGGGCAAAAGTTATCTAGAGCAGCAAAAGAAGTGGTGGAGAGCCATGATCACCCACATCCTGAAATGATATTACATATAAAAGAAGAAATATCTGATAGCCTCTAAGAATGGTTACATAGGTTGAGAGAAACATACAATCTTTGTTAAGCTTCCATAGGAAATAAAATGTCATGCAGTATAGCATCTATGGAAGGTCAGAATCATTATAAAACTAAGGTGTCTGATGTAATCATACTTGCTGAATTAAGTCTATTTCTCTTTAAGGAAGGACAACTTGTTACTTGTTTCTCAAAAAAGAAACCTTTTGTACTTTGAAAGGTACTTCATCATTTACAAACAATAATCTCTAAATCATGTACAGATTCTTCTCGAATCTTGTTCAAGGCAACATTTGAAATGTTTACTTTGTTCAGTATTTCAATACAGTTCATTAGAATAATTTCCTTTATAGAAATTTATATAATAAATGTGAATGTCACTGTGGCACTGTGTCACACTTTTTCAATTAAAGGGACACAACTTTCTAACTTTCAGTAGCTCATGTAACAGAAATTTCGGATTCCCAAGTTTTCATTAGTGTAATTGTTTTTGGTGATTTTTTTACATGATTTTTTGTGACAAATTTTTTTGTACAATAACAATTTTTATAACTTGGAAATAAATTTGGGAATAATTGCTATTAATTGTGAAATCCAGCGAAAGTCACCCAAGAAATAAAAATAATTGTTTGTACGGAAAGTAAGGACCTACATACATCAAATTTTTTTAAAAGTAAGTGGCGGCAGAAGAATTATCATTGAACTTTTAAAAGGTATGCTTATATATTAATGCAGTGTTCAATTTTGAGTTCTTCTGTAGTTTATTGTTACCTATCACATATGGCATCTGTATGCCTCGCAAAAAGAAATCTCTACCAAGAGAGGACCAGATTGCAATCACAAGAACCAAGGCTGCAGTGAGAAAAGAAAAGCCCTGTGTAAATGAAAACCCAGATGAAACAGCAGCAAGGTGAGCTTCCAATATTGAGAATATGCAAAGACTTAGAGTCTTTTAAACTACTGAACAAGCTGAAGGCCTAATCAAGTGCCCTCCGCAGGCACTATATTAAATGCGGTCCAATAGTTTTAAGCTAGTCTTTATAAATAAAGCACAGTGTAAGTGTGTTGGGCATTCAGCCAATTTTCAATCCCAGCAAATCATAAACAACCTGAAGAAGTAACAGGTAGTAACTACTGTAGTTATACACAATTAAAAATTAAATAAATAACTCATTTAAAGTTTAATTTAAATATCAAAAGTGAAAAGGTTTAAAAAATGATTCTTTATTAAAGGTTTAACTTTAATTTCACTTTTTGTCACAATTACAATTGATAACGTCTAACTTTAAAACTGTAATTAAAACTTAAGTGGGGCACAGTACGTTGCTCACATGTTTTTTGTTTTCTTTTTTATAAATAACTATAAAAACATTCATTAGTTTGTTCACATATTTCTATAATCTTGTAAATATAAAATTATACTTGTAAATAATCAATCTAATAAATAAATAGTGTTTAACATCTTTGTTGTCATTTCTCAAGAATAAAGAAAGTATATAAATCCAATTTCATATGTTTGGGTTTTATTAAAATTTAAATCATTGATTTTTAAAACAATAAACATTGCTGAGGGAGTCAAAAGTGTATACAGTAATAGCAGTGTCAAGGGAATAACTGTTCTTTTGACACAGTTTTTTTTTGTGGGCATGAAGGTTAAATATACTTGAAATTTTTGTACTCAAACTCACATCAGTATAGTGAAGCATTATAGGAAATAAACCCCATTTCCATCACAATTATATACTCAAATACATACCATATTAAAACACATCCAAACTTTATTTTCTACCCAATAACAGACAATATTACAAACATGCAAAAAAGACTCCACAATACAATACACACCTTTTAAGTCAAAGTGTCTATTGGTTAGAAATTAGCATCACCATGTGAAATATTTGACCAATCAGAGTAAACTAAAGCCCTATTTTTCTTCAGCCTCCTTTAAGGAAAGATTTCTTATAAAAATCCAGAAATTTTGACTTTTAAGGAGCAGAGATATGACTGTCTCCTCCCAGTGCATGCTGAAAGAAATGTGTCAGCAATTTCAAATGAATCAGGTACAACAACAACATAGCTGGCTAGTCAGTGACTTCAAACGAATCATTTCCAGAAAAAACAAAGACAATCAGTGGATTTACGTTAATGGTAAAAATCTTTTTCAACTGTAGCTTTTTTCTGTGGTTTAGTTTGGTTTGTTTTGTTTTGCAGCATATCAAACTCAATGGGTTATTTAATGCCAAAAAGATTTTTATTGCTGGTAATATATTTTTTTCTTTGAAAATGTATTACTGGTAATAATGTATTGCTGGTAATAATTTTTTCTTCAAAAAATTTTTTGTTGGCATTAAAACCTATTTTTACACTTCCATAGTTTTTTAACCCCAGTTTGTGGGTTAATTATTTTCCCATAGTTGGGACCCTAACAGGTGCTACCACTCTGTGTCAGGGTGAACCCAGGAACACCAGCAATTAAGACGTGGTTCCACGCTCCTCAAAACCTCCTGATCAGAGGCCTTGCTGTTGGACATAGTTTATCGTTTTACCCAGGATGCAGATATAGTTTATCATCCTACCCAGAACAGCTTTTTTCTGTGGGTCAAGTATTTAAAAGACTTTCCTAAACTACAGATTTTTCTGTGTATCAAGTATCCAAAAATTAAAGATTATTTTTAATAGCTTATGACTCTTGAATTCATGTACATGTGTTTGTAAACACAAATGATTTATTTAATAGGCATGAGACCATATTTTCTTTATTTTAATTTTATTATTGTTTGGAATTTGAACATTCAGATTTTTTATATAAAAACCTGGACAGCAGAATTTCGTTCAGCATCAGGAATTAGAGATTTGATAAAAAAAAATAAAAGAAAAAGTGAAAAGAGATTGAAACAGAAAACACTCCAACAATTAGTAAATAAATGAATGGGCAAACATGGACCTTCGTGCCGTCAATAAAATAGTTGATCAAAAGGACTGTTTTTCCCATGACACCACTTATTTTAAATACCTTCACTCTTTGGCAATGTTTATTGTTTTAAAAAGTGACAATTAGAATTGAAATAAAAACTAAATATATGATGGAAATAAATTTATAAATTATTTTTGTTCTTGAGAATTTACAACAAAAATATTAAACACTATTTATTAGATTGTTTATTTGCAAGAATAATTTTATATTTACAACATTCTAAAACCTAATACAATTGTATTAAGATTAATGCAATGCAATATTTCTCATTTTACCAATTCTTAAAGAAATAAATATGAAAACAATTTTTATTCATAAATTTATAGACATTTGCCAAATTATTAAAATATGTGAACCAACTATAAGGAAATCCTTATTTACCATTTTATAAAGTTTAAATCAATTAGCAATTAGCAGATGTTTTGCCAACCATTCCAATGAACAATATGATAAATAAATATTGTTTATTATTTTTGTTATCAATTCTCAAGAACAAAGAAAATGTATAAATTCATTTTCTTATGTTTAGGTTTTATTTCAATTCTAATCATCACTTTTTAAAACCATAAACATTTCCAAAGAGTGAAGGTAGTTAAAATAAAAGTGGTGTCAGAGAAAAAAAATGTTCTTTTGAGACTCCTTTTCCATTTTTAGAGCACAAATATCCATGTTTGCCAATCAATGAATATATATGTGTGCTTACATATGGGAATTGGTTGATTTGTCAGGAAGGAAACTTCCTGATGTTATCAGACTGGAGGGGATGATTCTAGTGTGTGACACCTTTAGAAAGTGCCTGAAAACTATACCATGGGTTGACCCAAGCCTTGCAACTGAAATTGGGCATGCAAAACCCGGGGGTGGGGGTGATAATTGTGTTAGCACAGAGTCACAAGTCACCATGGCCGAGAGCTTGAGTATGCTAGCCTTGTTCAAACTGTTGATCATGCTAGATAACATGCTCTTTCCCAGAAACTGTAACTAAGGTCTGCTCAGCATAGTTGCAGTATAAACCACAGGTTGGATCTGTGAGTTTTGAATAAACAGAAATGCACCTGAG